CGTCATCAACTCGAAGATTATCGGCCGAGGCGCACACCGGAGCATGATGTACTTGGTTAAGTGGAAGGGATACTTGGACCGCCACAACAGCTGGGAACTAGTCGCCAACCTGATGCAGGATGCCGACAAAGCAATTGACAACTACTACAAGGCACATCCGCGACGCAAGCGTGTCTAGTCGTGGGTGACTAGCCTGAAGGGAGGGTGATGTTACGGACACCCAATTATCCATTATCTTTTTCCTTTTCTTTTTCTTTTTCCGGACTCTCACGTGACTCGGCAATTCCCGTGACTCACACTTGACTCATCTAGTTCTCGCACCTTGTTTACAGTTGTTTACCTCGTCATACCTATATAAGACTCCGCCCTTGCTTGTAACTTACTCTTAACCTTAATCTAGTCTATACACCGGCTACCTAGCCGCTTATCTTGGTTAACCTCGCTCATCCTTGTCTTCGTTATTAAGCGGCCGCCCAGCCGTTGCTGACATCGTCTTCGCCACCATTGAGTGGCTCTCCAATTTGGCTCTTGTTCTTCGCAATGAGCTCTATATACCAGCTGCGCAAATGTGAGTGTGCAAAGTTTGGGAGTGACAAGAAAGCAAACCTTCCCCACTTCTGCACTGTCGATCCCTCTGAATCAGCACGCTCAGACCCAAACTCCTTGACACATGCCAAAAGCTCCTCGTCAATAGCATCCCAAGACCCGGTGTCCTGTGATTTCGCTAATGTTCTAGCCTTGATAGCCATGCCCACAGTGCACTGACAATTATGTCACTTTGAATTCACCATTGGAGTGATTGTACAAACCAACAGAGCATGTTGCACTAGCTCTTTTGTCTCGGGTTTCTGCTGGCCGGGTACGTACAGCTTGAACTAATGCATGACCCAGTGCATCAAGTTCTCGTTCTTGTCGATTGACTTCCAGATCTGAAGATATGTTAAGCATCACACTAAATCACTTGTAGTGTGCACGTACATTCACACGCATGTTCGACGAGTGTGAGTTGATTGTGCGCCTGATATGCACATCCCTAGCCGACGTGAGGCTTAAGTATTGCTCAGGCTTGGTGAATACATCTTCCAGAAGCCCATGAGTAACTGGTTTCTTCTGCAAAATTGCCTGTTCACGACTATCAGTATGTGCTGGGGCTCCGAGCATATATGATACATACCTTTACCTGCTTCCTGATGCTCTTCTGTTTGTATGAGTTTGGTGCAAGGGCGTAGACCTGTCGTACGGCCAAAGCAATCTTACCCTGATATGCAACATTAGATATAGTGCCAGTCGGTGAAGACGCGTGCTCACCTTTTGGACCTCATCAAGTTCGTGCAGTTCCTGCTCTGCCACCTGTTCATCCTGCTTTGTAGTCCAGTCCTTAACCTCGCCTATCTTATGAGTGCCTTCGGGAGCTATATTGCGAGTAGACATCACGAAGGCCGAGAGAACAGCAATGCCATTGTTGATACCAAGCTGGAAAGAGGTGACATTGAGTTGACAAACAAAGGTAGCGGTACACATCAGCTCACTTGACTAATACAGGGTAAGACCGCACAATCTTCAGCTAATAGCTTTAGGGACATGCCCAGTGCATTGTAATTGATGCACATAGTGCCCGCAGCATCTACAGGAAACATGTTTGCAACAAGCCTAGTTCTCGGATCTGGCGGCAACTGTGTCTGCGAGCTGGAATGTGACAGCCCTGTTGGGGGGTACAGAGTTGCCCGGTGTGACGTCGGAGTAGACCTTGCAGGCCCAGTCGCATGATCCATGATTGTGAAGATATGGACCGGAGTGAAGCTGGGCGAGAGATTTAAGGAGTCGAGGCTGGGCTCCTCGTATGATGCGGACGGCAGTGCATCAGCTCGTCCTCGTGCCCACGGAGGGATGACGTTTCCAACTGGCCCATCTCGTCCCAAGTCTCCATCTGAATACTTTCCAAATCGGCTAGCAGGAAGGCAACTTGAAGGAGATGCAAGAGTGCGTCCTCTCTTGACCCAGCTGTGCCACTTGTGGACTCGACAACAAGAGACATCTCGGAAAGGAACCCCTGCATCTTCCCCACCAGGTGCGGATCCTTATGCATTGCGACTGGTAACCCACATCGAGGTGATTGCCAAGATGGGAAGTGGGTGACTGATGACGATGAGCATGGTGTGGGAGGTGTTGTGTTGGGCTGTGAATAAAGTCAGTGTTGGGTGCGGAATGGCAACACACAATACATACCAGCTTCTGGACTGCTTCAAGGAGCGAGATAAGCGGCTCATGCATTCGAAAGATACCGTACAGGTACTCTTGACGGCTATCAACGAGGGCATACTTCATGGCGGGACCGTGGCCCGGATAAGCGTGCCGCTCAGCCAATGTGCGTAAGAATTGATGGAAAGCTTGTAGAATGTTTTGTAGCTCTTCGTAGCTGATGCCTCGTCCGACCTCATATGACTGAGCTAGCTCGCTGTAGAGAAGCGCAGCCAGCAGGCATGCCCAAGCCATGTCAAATCCCGAGAAAAGAAGCTCGTCGTTGTAAGCAAATTGCCAGGGCGAAGAACAAAGATAAGCTTCCACGGCAGCCACCGTGGCCGGGTTGTCGGTGAGTGTGGGTCCCGCTGAATGCCAATCGACATCCGGTGGTAGGAAAGGGGATGCAAGCCCGCTCGCAAAGTTAGTACTTCCATATCCATGATTTTGGACGAGCTACAACACATTAACGGGTGGACACAGACACATTTCTAACCACGTACCGGTAGCTCGGCCAGGGAGCGAACACATTGTTGAAAGAGAGTTTCCGGGAGCACCAGATCGGTAGCGCGAAGTGTTAGGAAATGCAGACACCACTGGGCACGAGCCTCAGCCGTATGGGGAACAGCAAGTGGTTGAGTGAGTCCATCAACGAGTGGCAAAGCAATGGCAAAGTCGTCTGGATCCAGAATATGTGTGAAAATTGGGGCGCCAGCCTGGTCTAGCACATTCCGTAGCTCGGGATCGTGAACTTGAACTTCGCGAGCACTGCCATACCGACTACGCGCAATGGTCATGCGAGCGGGTGCAGAAGGCAGGAATGGGACCAGAGGTGCCGGCGGCAGCGTAGATGCCGCAGCGGTACCAGGCACCGGCAGGAGGGTAGGTTCCGTGGGAGTACACGGCCGGGCGTTCAGGGCCTTGTCACGACTACGCTGGAGCTCAGCCGTCTGGGAATCTGCTTCGGTAGTTGCCCAATAGTGGTCGGCATGGGCAACAGGAAGAAGACGGGGCCCATTCTTCCGCTTCCAGTGGTGGAAAATAAGCTCCCCAATTGTGAATAGCCATTCTAGCAGTTCGACACGTGCAGCTTGACTGAGGTAGTACGGGGCTTCATGACAAACCCTGGGGGGAAGTACTTCCCATCGACGAGCAGGCCATTGCCCTCTGAGTCGGTGGCAGCGATATCTGTCCAAGGGACGTCGAGATATTTTGGATAGGAAGACGAAATGTTGGCTGAGTACGAACGTCAAATCAATGAATATGTTCACTTAGTGGGTAACATACCGTGTGCTGTGCTGAATATGTAGTACAGGGCATTCTTCGTCTCTTCCTTTTGTAGTTCAGGCGAGAAGTCAGCCCTGCGCAAAAGCAAGCCATCACGCCCCCTATAATCACTGGGGCGAATCGCATAGCCCGTAAGTCGGTCCATAGCATCCTTAATCTTCTTGCGCCGCTTGTTCGTAACCTTGCCCAACCCTGTATTGTATGTCAACGGTGCATCGGAATGACTGGGATGTTGGCAGTCGGCACTGTGTGTGCCGAGCGGAAGCGCACATTCCGATCACTCGGACGCATGGAGCACCGGATGCTCGGCACACATACCCCGACATACCATATGACATACCTGTTGACTGATTGACAAATTGAAGTAGCCGTGCGAGGGTTCCGGTCATTGACGTATGGTGGGGGTGAAACCGCTTCTCGCCCAGAACCATCTCAGTGGAGAAATCGACACTGTTACAGTGGGGTAAGCAGAACTTTCTTGTATAACCACACATTATCAACTCACAACTCCGCATTGGTAGCAACACCAGGCTCTGGTATAATCATAAAAAAGGTATATACACCCTTGTTCTTCAAGTTATCGACCGCCATATCCAACATCTTCTTCTTCCCACTTCGCATAAACTTCCTATAAACCCTGTCAGCATTGCAATTCGGAATCGATGCTAACTGAACTGACCTCCTCTTTTGTTCAGGCGGGAGCCCATTCTTATTCCATTCAAACACCAGAGTGTCAAGATCATTGCGATCTTCATCGGAAAGAGAATAATACAACACCAGCCTTGCTTTCTTATACTCCCTGATCCAATATTGATCACCATGCCGTAGCCCGGATACCTCTGTGATCAACTCATGGATCGTGTCAACGTAGACATGTCCACAGGCTTGAACCGGGTCCCATTCCGACTTGCGGTCGCCAGGCTTGCAAACGATCACGTCTCAAATCCTGCCTTGCTCTTTAAAGAAGTTCTTCACGGCCTACAGAAACTTGTTAGCACAGTATCCAATGTAGGGAAGTTCCAGCTGCCGCGGCACCCGGGATCCAGGCGACCGAGTGGAAGCCGACACCCGGGGCGCAGAGGTGCCGAGGCACCCAGCTCCCGGCACATCCCGACCCAAGCCAGACAAATATACGGTGTTAACACATACCTTGTGAACAATATGAAACCGCTTATTGCTTGTTCGCGACGGCCAGAGCACTGGAGTATCCCACTCGATGGTCTCACCATCCCAAACATCCTGGAAGGCCTGAAAACCTGGTCAGTGGTTACCCACCAGTTAGGGGTAGTCAACACACTTTGAGCACAAACTCGGCCCTCTCCTGCCCATCTAATACAATATACTGGCTGACAAGGGGCTCCAGAACGCGAAATTGAATGGCAGTGAGCAAGTTCAATGTCAGGAGCTTCGGAGCGTGTTCTCCATAAGTCTCGTCAACATCATCTTCGTTTTCATTAACAGCGCCCTCATCCTCAGCCTCCGCGCCTTCAGCATTGCCATCAACATACTGCTCCATGACTGTGGGCGGTGTGACAGGGTTGTCGTTGAAGTGATGAGTGCAGGAAGTAACAGTAAGCCGTTCCTAAGTCTGCGCTGGCAAGCTGACGGATGCAGCCCACGGTAGCTGCGGCTGCGGTGATCCCGGGCATTGTGTCAACAATGCCTGATTCAAGTCCGGTGACACCGGTGTTTGTTCCGAACATGCCCGATTTAACTCCAGTGATCTCGGGCATCACTCCGGTGATGTCGGACTTTGCTCCGCTGTCCCATCAAATCTTATAGAATGATCACTGCGCAATGATTGCTATCCTATATTTCTCCTTACGGCTGTTGAGTGTTGTGGGAACAGTCAATCTATTGTTTGACATCAATGCCAAGTCTCGCTACCGGGGCTAGTGAGCAAAGACAATATTGTGACCTGTAGGCTACTTCCCAATATGGGTAGCAGTGTAAGGAACTAAGGGTACACCCAACATATTTCTAGTTGTACATGTCCTATAGGGAAGGAGCCGTATTATATCTTTGCTTGGGGTAGATTGTCACAACATACAATATCTTGTTCATCCCTCATCATAGTCGTCTATCTCGGAATGGCCATGAAGAGTTCCCATTCAATGTCAATTATCTACTTCTTGAGCTTTATGCCTCATGACAGCCAGTGAGTATGGGACTTATCATTAGATATAGGCATAGCGTAGATACGGCGACGCCAATGTGTTCTGCAATGTCGTCCGTCGAGGGCCGTCTCGGAGTTCATGAACGAATCCGTCAAATCTCTATCTGAACCCATCGTTTGTCATCCCGTGTATTCTCAATTACACACCAGGTCTGATTATAGAGGAGATATCTGCTGCAAGTATTTTGTTGATATCCAGTACACTTGCCCATCATAGCTGTGAAAGGAGATGTGCGAGTTAGCGAAATGAGGTGCTGCTCAACTGCGAAAGCCAAAGCCTCGGTACGGGCTGCTCGCGAACTCGACGTTCACAAAGCCTGACATGTTGCAGAGTCCCGTGGTGCACCTGCTATTTACTGTGGAGCAAACTAGAGCCCTGTATACTCATGAAATAATACCTTGGCTCATTGGGAGCTGGTCCGGAGTGCACTTGTGGCCCAATCAGCTACCACACATGACTGGCAAATGGCCAGGATTCTGTTCGAGTCTTGCATTTCAATCCTTCACAATGCCATTCCGAGTCTATATCAGAGACGGCCTACAGCTGTTTTTGGTGTGACATTTTTGGCTGGTCCTGACACTGCACGATACTTATTGTTTTGCAAATTGTGACATCTGGCAAGCATGCTATTGATGGTGTCAGTCAGCTAGCACAAGTGAGCCGTCGATAACACCATGCTGCAGCCTCGTGTATTGCCCCATGCACTTCGCAATGTGTTCGTCGGCATCTCTTTGTGCAACTGCCATGTCAGAACCTAATGATCCCCGTTACAACTACTCTGTTACCAATAACACTTGAAAGGCAGCCCAGGCAGCCCCTAGTAAGCCACACTTGCCCCGGAATCAAGCTGTCATTCCTGCCGCTCCAGCAACTGAACCGCCGAAGAAGAAGGCGCGGCAAGACAAGTATAACTCACCTTTTGAGGACGAGTCTACCTATGCACGTCTGCACAAAGATCGACAGAATGGGCCACCTGGGTGGCAACAAGAGAGTGGATTGGATGGTGGCACTAGCAGGGCGACAACACGACCCGGGACTCCAACGATAGCATCAGGATCGAATCGTTATGTGGACGGACCAACAAGGGTAAGCTCAAATAAAATATCCGGTGCTCGCAAGGTCTAAAACTGATCAAAACAACAGGCAGACCATCCAGAGCAAGTGGTTGACATGCGAGGCTTCCCAGTAAACGACATCCCAGCTTATGCTGGAAACGACAGCCAGAACAAGGGTCCTGCCCGCAATGTACGTGACTGGTGTCTGTTTGATTCACTCATAAGCTCATAGCACCAATAGTCAAATGTCGAGCAACTGGCCTCGTTTGCAGCGGAAAACAGAGCGGCAACATATGCTCACTGTATCATTGATCAATACGGCCCTCCACCCGACGAACTTCTGTGCAATGGCTGCGGGACACCACACAGTGCACGATGGTGTTGCGATAGTTGTCAGAGGGACCGCGATCTCTGCACCGCATGCTTGCGATCGCGTCACATGGCGAATCCACTTCATCGCGTGCGATATCTTACTGGTGTTCAGTACCGTGAAGCCTGGCTGCGTGATGCCGGTGTCTTTATTCAACTCTGTCCAAAGGCCCGAGGCTGTCAACCCTGTCCAGGCCACATGTCAGGCAAGCACTCGCTTACTCCGGACTTCGACGATGTCAAACCACCGTTCTATGGCAGTGCGAGGGCGGCTGCCGCAGAGGACGACATTGATACCGAGGACGTTGAATAGGACGGGATACCTCTCGGAGTGGGGACTGCAGGTGCCGCGGCACCACCCATGCCGGGGGACGCGGGAGCCGGTAATGCCGGTGCCACGGAACCCGGCAGCCGGGACGGACTTGTTGATCCTGACGATGATTTTCGCATGGACGGAGGTGGTGGAGAAGGTATGGAGGACGCCCAAGGAGAGGAAACCGGTCCGAGCCCTGCGGATGCACCAGGTGGCAGCGCAGAGAGTGAGGGTGTTCCACGGAAGCGTGGTCGTGCAGCAATCATTGACAAAGACCCGTGGGGTTATGACGTCTTTGTTCTGGTCCATGAAGTCGATGTTCATCAACTTGGTGTCAGCTACTGTGTATGCTCGGTGGCCAAGCACATGCCTCTGGACCAGCAGCTCCTACGCCTATGAGGACTCTATCCTGCTACAGACCAGAGGCCTCGCACTGCGTTTACACTTCATGCTCTGTCATTCTTTCAAATCGACCGTCTGGCCTGTCATTCGAACCCCCAGTCGATCTACGAGCGCCTGCATAGGCATACCTCTCCCTTGCACCCATATTCTATTCCGGTGAAGTCCCTTTTGTCAGGAGCCCTGCGGGAGAAACTGACACGCTCACAGGACCGTTATCAAGAGACTCTCCGTGTCACTCGCGAGTTCAACATCACCAATAACCTCATCATATTTGGGTTCGCTCATCAAGATCCCGCAAACTGGCGTCCCCCACCACCAGGACGTCTCTTTGAGGCATGCATCATCTGTCCATCAAAGAGGAACGTTCCCAGGAACTACAAGAACAATCCGAACTCCTGGGCCTTTTTCTTCTCGTTTGCGCATGATGGAAACTTCAGCGCACAACATACGATACCCCAGCAAGCCGAGAACAACGTGCCTATCTATCCCGGCACTGGAGCCTTTGAAGATCCCAATGACGTCAAGGAGAAGACACAAAAGACAATATCCGACCAGCAGCTGAAGCGTCAGGTGCCCGAGCTAGTACGTATGGAGTCAATGACTTTCTCATGGGATCGACTGACATGTTTTCAGTTCGAGAAAGATGTGCCTTGCCACAAGCACAAAGCGGCCGCCGTCACTGGCAAGACGCACAACAAGATTACCGACATCAAGGGCATAGGGTCATGGGTATGCGCGTGTCATGGAGAGTTCTGTGCTTTGGGAACATGCAACTACACAAAGGGTGAAGCGTGAGTTCCCACTCCCGAGTGTCTGTGTGCTGGAGTCCTGACTGCCGCGGAAGCTCGGAACCCACGGACATTGCTCTTGACAATACGTTGTGCCTACATACGGACCTGAGCATATCTGAGCGGCTGCAGCTCCTCTACGATATCTGGTGCCGTTACGGGATTCATCTGAAGGAATGCTTCGAGCAAAACAAGCATCTTACCTGGCCGCAGTTCTCGGAAGTCCTGGGTAGTGTGGGTGTATGGCATATTTACGGCCATGTCTTTGAATGCGTGGGTTGTTACTCAATGCTCTACTCCCGACACACCGGTATTGTTGACGGGGAGATTCTTGAGACGTTATGGTCCATCCTCAACGGCATACTCGAGTCGTGTCGTGGAATGTCTCTGGCCAGTCGCAAGGAGGTCATCAGTATGTTTCAATCTGATAGCAATCATAGGAAGAATCTGAAGATGGGTACGTTGTAAAACTCTACTATATTGGGGAGAGAACTGATTCATCTTTACAGTCGATACCCTGGTCCGGAAGTTCAAGAAGTACCTCCGCGAACATCAAGACCGCAATTTGCTCCTATCTCAACTCTCTTCCTGCACCACACCCGAGAACATGGAGCAGTGGGAACGCGATAGACAGGTGCTTGAGCAGCAGAGAATTGACAATCTGTCTTATGCAGATCTTGTTTTTGCAAGAGATCATATACAAGGTGACGCTCTAGCCATTCAAAACATTCTCCCAAGCTCACCTGAATATTCAGTTCCCTCGAGAAAGGACTTAGAAGGCCAGCTTCTTGAGGAAGAAGCTAGCCATCCAGAAGGACATGGGCTCACCGAAGCTTTAATCAACGCTCTGGATTTACAAGTTGACCAGTGAGTGCTAGTGATGGGTTCACTGAACACGGCTAACCCACACTGCACAGGTTGAAGCTTCAAGCACAAGACAAACAGGCAGTCACACCACCAGACAGACGTACAGTCGCGATGGCACGTACTCGCATCCATAATCGGGTCAACCGGTCAAACGACGCCATGGTGGCAGCACTAGGATCAAAGCCCAGGGATGGTGATCTCACTGAGACTACCCTCCATCACCTCATGCCAGAGGATGAATGGGACGACACACCTCCGATTCGTGGCGGCACTCGCAACCTCCGCCCAGCTGCAGAGCTGCGGCCTGTTGACATGCCGTCCACCCGCAAGAAAGGGTGGCGGGAGGCCAGTGCGAACAGTGTTTTGCCTGGTCAGCGGGAACTTTGTATGATGGCATTGAACATACAAGCACGGTTGCTCATGGGGCGAATGGAGGAAGAGCTGGGCCAGATACGAACTGGGCTTGTGGATCAGGCCAATACCTTCCTTCTCCGTATCCGCTCGCGAAACGGGACTGGCAACGCTCACCTTGGCCACCATCTTAAGAGCCAGGCGTATAGTGAGGCGCAGAAGCAGGGTCAGTCGGTACGCATCCATGCACAGGTTTACAACACGTGCCATCAGATGTTCGCAACCGTTGGAGAATCGCTGAAGGCACTGGGGGACTCGACAATGGCGGATATGCTGACACGGTATCAACCTCTTCGTCCAAAGGATCTTCTGTGCTCAACAGCAACATACAGTGCGAGTGGCACAAGTCCAGACTTCACGTTGCCCTGGTTTTGGCGAATGGTCCCTGAGGGTGCAACAGATAATATCCGCCAAGTGAACCTGACCGACGAGGAGTTTATTTCTGAATGTGAGAGAACAAGACCACTTGTGCTAGGATACACACTGACCATACATAGTCTTCCAAGTGCGGTGGATTAATGCCAAGTGTGCAGTGGCAAGGTGCACGGAGGAACTGATCATTCTACAGTTCAAAATGCAAATGTGCTACTTGGGCTATATGAGTCTTGCAAAGGACTGGGATGATCGCACGAACAGCGTCCCTGGCTCTCGAAGTCACGCATACATGGCACAGGAGTATGCTAGTCATTGGCGGGATATGGCAGCCTATGCGAAGCAACGCTTCAACAGAGTTATTCCGGAAATCATACACAGCGGCTTATAGTAGGATGTAAAGTAATGTATTTTATGCACAGCAGAACGGCTATGCAACTGGGACAAGATAAAATATGCTGGGATGAGGAATGAACCAAGCTCCCGAGGGAACCAAGCATCCGACAGTGCCAGGCTTCCGCGGGTGCCGAAAGAGCTGAGCGTATGGAAGTATTTTTAGAGAATTTCCACCATCATCTGTCATCGCCTCTTCGTTCGCATCCTCCATCACGCCTCCTTCACTTGGTCGTATGCGCTAAGAGTTACATACGGCTAATACCCAATGGCCCTATGTTGTCTTCCCCCACAATCAATTACCCTGGCTTGCTGTCCCATCCATCATCATTATACATTTGACACAACGGTGCCATACCACATCTGGTGTCCCAATCCAGCCCCATCTCATCACATTATAATGATATTTCTTTTGAATGGCACCGCCCGAATCCCAGATGTCCAAGCAACTATACTCTCTAGGAAAATAGACCAAAAAATGTCTCTGTTTCAACTGCAACATATGGAACACAAACTGTTAGAGCGAACACGGCAAAGTCATGTACAAGTATGCCGAGGGTGCCGACACTCCGAGCCTCTGGGTGCCGAGCTTCCGGAGGTGCCAGGTGCTGCGGGAGTGGCAGCGGCGGCACCTTTGGAAGCCCGGCACCCGGAGGCTCGGAGTGTCGGCACCCTCGGCATACTTGTACATGACTTCGCCATGTTCGTTCCAAAGGTTGCTTCGCAAGCTTACATTCTATGTATGTAGCAGTCTCACTAGAATATGCTGTAGCACAGTGCAAAAATATAGTCATTTACGTTCAAAGTATAATACATGTGTGATGGGAAATGCGAGAGTGGAGAGACGATCAAATAACTAAATGTACAGAACAACAGAGACAATATTCGGATCATGCATATACATATACAAGCAAAAAAGTCCGCCGTGTGCACCGGCCATGAGAGACAATCTACTTCTTCTTGCTGCCGGACTTGCCACCCGTCTTACGCTTCGCCTTGGGCTGCTCAACAGGTGCCTCAGGTGTCCCGGGAGCAGCCGCTTTACCAGCCTGAGAACGGGTAGTGCGGGGTGCAGGCTCCACCTGAGGTGTTTGGGGGACCGGTGCGCGCGACGTTGATGCAGTTGTTCCAACCTTGCGCGGCTGCGGCTTCTTCTTGACCGGCTCCTACACGTCGTCTTCGTCCACGTCAGCGTCCTTTGCAGGTGCCTCGTGGCCGTCTTGGCCTTCTCGTTCTTGGCTGGGGCCTTCTTCGCGGGCGCAGCAGGAGGAGCGGACAATGTTTGCAGCAATGAGCGGGATGGAGTGGCGCCGGGAGGCGGTACGTCCTCATCGTCATAGAACACACCCTCCTCCTCGTCCATCGACACATTGCTATCTGGTGTAGGCGCTACATCGCCCGCTCTCCACCCTGCAGAGCTCTCCGGCTGATCCTGAGCGCCCTCCTCTGCCGCACAACGACGGTTAGCGTGGATAGCTGCTGACACCGCATCCTTGGAGATGAAGAGCAGGCCATCCGCGTTGACTGGTGGAGGCTGCACGCCAGCATCAGCCATCTGAACATCGCCCACTGCACCACCTGGCACCACAGCACTTCCAAATGAAAGCAAAGATGGACGGCCTTGGCCTGGAGCCCGCGGCTTGTTCAGCGTGGGCTGTAGTTGTCAATTTACTTAGTTTCTGGTTGTTATACCCGGGCATCCGTGCTTAAGATAACCAGGTTTCCACAGAACGCTAACCACCTGGGCAGTAGAAGTGGTTAGTAGCTGGTGGATAATAAATAATGTTCCAGGCAGTAATTAGTGGTGTATAATACAGGCCTAGCAGGTTTCCGGCACATCACGAGGAACCTAGAATGTGCAAATTAAATAGGTACTCAGCTTTTGATGGGAAGCAGGCTGCCTGCGAGCTCGGCACCTGCCGGGCTGGCTGCCTGATGGCGCCTGCCAC